ACTGGTGTGGCATAAAGGACATATAGAGCTGAATATCATCAGCGTAGATGTGGTAGGAGATGTCTGGGAAAGACTGAACGATGCCAGCTAGGGGAATAATATAGAATGCGAATAGTAGAGGCCCTAGAACTGAACCTTGTGGGACCCCGCATGTTAGAGAGGCAGTATCTGAAGAGAAGGTTTCGGACTTCACTGTGAATGTTCTGTTAGTGAGATAAGAAGAGAGCCAGTCTAGAGCAGAACCTGAAATCCCAGCCAGGTCCTTTAATCTGTCTAGTAGAACGTTGTGGTCTACAGTGTCAAAAGGAGCCTAAGTCTCCTCCCCTTCTGGCTGGCTCATGGGTCCCCGATCAAAAAAAAAAAAAACAGAATGTTAGTGAACTGGGCTATAAAAGTTATTTTCTTGTCTTTCTGGGCTTTGCCTTACGCCCTGAGTCACATCTGTCAGACTTTTCTAATCCTAGAGTTTCACCGTCTATCAGATTTTCTATCAGAAGCTAATGCAGGAGATAGCGGCAGGAGACTATGTTCATGTTCAGCCTGCATGAAACACTCAGTGACACGTTAGAATCAGAAATAATCATTTAATGTATTTTTTTCAGTGAAGTTGACCTACGGTATATATTGACCTACAACAGATTTGTTAGATTTCCAAAATGTGTCCCCCCCAATATTAAACTCGTTCCTACGCCCTTGTGTGGCGGTCATCTTTAAATTAGTTCATCAAAAAGTTCATGAGCTGTAGACCAACGACTCATTTCTAGGAAATTCATTAAAGTCTGTCAGGTGCTTTTGTTAACTCGGAAAAATTCAAACAGACGCTAAAGAAATTGAACAAACTAATACATTAATATTAAATGATAATTAAAGCAAAGCAGAAAAACTAAAAAGTTGAATTTAGTCACATTTGATGAATAGAAAAATAGTATAATTTTTTTTATAAATACAATAAAAAATGTAGGATAAAAAAAGAATAAATGTTTTTTTCTATGTAAAAAAACGTTGCATTATAAAACAAAATGTCTTCTGTTACCTCCTAATAAAGCTCATGGGTCAACACCCAGAAGGGGTTAATAAGCTAGAGCTAGACTCGATCAGAACTCATGAACTCACTCCCGTGTCACGTGTCAAATTTCATCACACAAGTCAAACTAAATAAAGTCAGAAGTAGAACAGTCGGCATAAACTTATCAACTAATTAAATGCTTTCTGAAACCCCGAGAAAACCTTTCTTAGGACAGGAGGTTCAAACGCATCGGTGCAAAGGGTCAATACAGATGGGATTCTGTGTGTGAAATAACGCCAGTTAAATTATTACTTAAGTGTTGTTTGTGTGCATGTTGTTCAGTAGCTAATGCTATAATTAATATCATCTGGCTTTTTTATAAGCCCTACACACTGTGCGTGATGTACGTTTGGGGCGCGCAGGCGCTGGTTTAGCGTGAGAGATTGGAGGTGTGGCGTGAGAGCGTGTGAAGAGGGTCAAATGCGTGTGTCTGACGCTCAGTGTGTGAGAGATGGCAGCCTTGCTAAAACACAAAGGTGTCTGTGGACCATCTCCATCATGTGACAGATTGATGAGAACAGAGGTCCTGAGGCACTGAAAACTCCTCCCATCATTGAAGGAAAGTCCTCTTCCTGCTGCAGTGATCCGAAGGCCACTGCTAGTCCAGGGACCTCGGCTCTGTGTCCCCAACAGGTGACGCCTCGGGGAAAGAACACATCCGTCCTTGATGTCTTCGCCGTGGTAAAGACGTGTGCGTATGAACACGGGTCGAGACATTCGTCACTGAGCTGCCATCTCATCACTGAAACCTAAATTTGCAGCCGGCTGAATTGATGAGCTGTCAGGCACAACCCTGAGGAGCCTTCAGTCGGCTGACACGTTGGAATTAGCGGGTCACTGAAAAACAGCGAACAGCTTCATTTCTGAAAGCGGGGCCGCTGCTCAGGCCAACTCGCCCCAGGAGGTTTACATCAGCTCCTCAGGCATTTAAAATGTAACGAGACGACGCATTTATTCTACAACAGTAGATGTCTTTGTGTGGCATCATTGTCCTGGATGTAATGTGGCCATTTGACCAGGTTTTATGCTTTTATCCACTCATTTGGACACATTGCTGCATTGTCCAGCACCTTGGGCGTGTGATAAGGTCGTAGACGGGGCTTTACAAATAAAAGTGAAATGAAACGATGTAGAGGGATTTGTTTAAAATTAAACCCGCTGCTTGATGCCCGTTGGGTCAGAAACCCCATCAGCTTCACAAGTGGGATCACAGGTTCCCACGTGGAAACTCATCAGCTGTTGCTGTTTGTAATGCCAACACCTTGTGAGGGAAGAACAACCTGAGCAGATGCCACAGGCAACGCTGGGTGTAGTGTTTCATTTCGTTACCTCGCTTCAGTCTCCCCTGATACTGAAGAGGAGACAAGATTTCAGTTGGTACATCCGGGTGTTTACATCTGGATTCGACACAAACCTCCGGGGGAAAAAAAACATTGCTGCTGTTTGGTATTCATCAGAACCTCCAGGAGAGAAGGTCTCCTGATCCACCACAGAAGATACAAACCACTCCTTAGGGATGGGAAGGCCTGACCTGAGCCCAAACATTCAAGCTGTGAAGCACATGGAGATGATTATGGGGGGCGGGGCTTATTAATTATGGATGATGGCAGCAAGTTAGAAGTTGACAAAAACACTTTTGTTAAAGAAAGATGGAAGCAGCCAGACAGAATGGTCCTCCTTCTGACCAACGACAGACTTCATGGAGAGTCCTGACCAGCTAAGTCCACCTCCAATTCTAAACTCTGTGGATGTTCAACAGGAGGCCCACGGGCCAGATGTGGTCCACTGGATCATCTTTAATATGTATTACAGTTCTAAAGCTCAAATACCACTATTACAAGTCCCAGAAGACACTGGGGCAGGCAGTGATGCCCCAGAAGCCCCTCCCCTTTTAGCTGCAGGACTCTGACATCAGGTTTGAGTCAGAGGCGAGTTCTCCAGGGGTGGAGCTGCTGACCTCTGGGTTCTGAGTGATGAAGGTCTGGAGTCCTTCAGATCTCCTGAGCCCAGATGTTAAATCAGCCCTGTCCTCGTTGCAGTCGGTTTTATGGAACCTAATTTTGCACATCTGGATTCCCTCTGGAGGTTTTTGTTAGAACAGCTGTGGTTTGTGGTCAAACATTAGCATCATTCTAATATCTTATCTCCAGATTAAACACATTTCTGATTCATTCAGATGTCTGACTTTGAGAGAAGTTCAGCCTCCCGTGTCCCATTTTCAGGGACGAGCAATGGCGGCGTTGGATCACAGCCTCTCCGTGGCGTTTGGTGGGATTCGGTTCACGGGCGGATTTTCTGTAATTCTTTCTCTGGAATCAGCAGAACGGAGAGTCGGAGAGAAGATACGGCAGAAGAAAGGGAGTAAAAATAGACCGAATAGCAATGAGGCAACCTTCCCTGCTGCCTGGAGCCGCTGGGGGGTGGGCGGCTGCTCCATACAAGGAACTCCAGCAGATCCACGGGGTTTAGGAGGGAATAATTTTACCCAACCTAATCCAAGTCCAGCGAGCTCTGACGGGCCTTGGCTCCGCTTCTCACAGATCAGCAAAACTGGGGCAAGACGCTCTCACGCAGCGGGGGATGATGGGACCTCATCTGTTCACATTTCCCCATTTCCTTTGCGTCTGTCCTGATGAATTAATTGGAGTTAATCTTGTCTTAAGCAACAATCCTGTGCCAGACGTGGAGATCTGTGCTGGATGGTTGTGAAAACATCTGCGGGGAGTTTTCCTGTCATTATTTGGACGTTTGCTGTGATTAACAGGCGAGGGCCTGCGTGCCTCAGATTATAAGCTTCATCACTCTCAATTTACATTTTTGGTTTGCTCGGGGTGATCCCGGCTAGCAGCCGAGGAAAACTTCAAAGTGATGATCTGAAACGTTTACAGAGGAGAGCCGAAGCTGGATCCCATCACACGAGACCCGCAATACAACACGAGAGCCAGAAACATGGGAGCCAAAATGTTTCAGCAGGAATTCTGATCCTGAGAGCTGGCACTTCCCAGTCTGAGGTCCTGGTGCTCTACTGGGAAAAGGTGGAAGGATTCCTCTGGACTGGACATGAGTCAAATGCAGAAGGTCAGATCAGATTATCTTGGTTTCTTTATGAGTGGTGATGGGATAGAGGAGAGACAGACTTGGGTGAGGACACGTGTTGATGAAGGAGGAATGGGAGGAGGTGGTTTGGTGCATCTGTGATCCAGCCTTCATCTTTCATCACCAGATCTGAACACCTTATATCCAAGCAGAAGTTTCCTTCCTCAGAGACCAGGCGAGAAGCTCAGACAGCTGCTGCTTCTCTTCATTGCAATGGAGTCACCTGAGGTGGTTTACACTCCTCCTGGTCACCTCCCACTGGAGATGTTCCAGATGCAGAGCACTGGGTCCGGTCTGCTTCCTGCATCCATCCTGACATCACATCCTCTACAAACATGCCATTCTGTCTGTCAGCATGGAGAACATGTGCTGCTTCTGCTTACGCGTTGGGGTCATGTTGTAGAAACCCAGAGATGATCTGAGCTAACTGGTCCAGCTGGAAGTAGCACCAGAAGATGGGTTTGGCTTAGAATGCAGCCAAATCCAGACTCATCAGACCAGAAAAGGTTTTCCGGTCTCCTCTGGCCCAGTTCTGATGATCCTGTGGGAATGGTAGCGGCAGGTTCCTGTTTTTAGCTGACAGGAGAGACACCTGGATGGTGTGGTCTTCTGCTGACCTCTGACCCTAGAGATGTCTCTGGGTTCAAATCTCAGTTTTACCTTCATCTAGATGCCGCCTTGTGATTGGTTGAATAAACGGTGAACTCAGTAAAGTGGTTCTGTCTGCAAAGCTTCTGACTCAGAACCCTTTACTAAGTTCTGTTTATTATAGGGATGGTGGGTGGTACCGACCGGGTCTAGCAGAACTTTACCCATCAGTGATCTCTACATCGCATCACACCTCTAATAATTAACAATGATCAGATTTTCTTCATCTCAACCAAAGATCCACCCAGAATAAAAGATCCAACAGAACCGGAACCACGAGGACAGAAGACAAAAGGAGGACGGGAAGGGAGAGCGACAAGACAAAGGGTGAGATGAAGAGCGTGGGATGAGACAGTCGGTGAGGAAGAGGGGGAGAGAGGGAGCAACAAACACGCGCAAACACACTCAGGTGACGTCAAACCGGAGCGCAGCTGACTGGCTCGCGCCGCCGTGGCTCCGCTGACCAGCCGGTCTCTCGTCAGCTCCACGCGGATGCTGCTGCCGCTGCTGCACGCGCTCCAACCACCGAGGAGGCGGGGAAACCGGGAGGTCTCACACGGAGCTGTGGAGCACTGGGGAGGGGGGAGGAGGAAGGAGGCTCCACTCTCACCCTCGCGCGCAGCACGGAGACGCACAGGACGCGTTATTTACCGAATGGAGACGCGCCTTTCCGCATGAGAAACCAGCCGGGATTGTGACGCGGACAGGTGTTGCATCTGAGCGCGAGAGCTTTGTGTGGACCGAGGGGCGCGAGGCGGAGGGCTGATCCGTGATGAAGGGCACGCGCCATCCTCGCTGATCCTGCAGCCTCGTGCGCAACAAGTTTGTGAGATTGAATTGATTGTAATCTGGATTACACGGATTTCTATCCCGTTTTGCCTTTTCTTGGATATTTTCTGGAAATCTTGCGGGACCAGGGGGCTGGAATGTTGCTGTCTGCTTGTTTTTCCTGCAAAAGAACCGTTAAATAACGGGTCCACCGGTGTCAGCAACGCACCGACCGTTTCGGAGGTTTCACCTAAAACCAGATTTTCTTCCATCTGCGACCCCCCCTCCCCCCTTTCCCCGTTCCTCACGGATCCCGGATCCCCGTGACACCCCGATGGTGTCCGATGCTGGCGCACGGTGGCTCGAGCTGCTGCCTGAAAACCGGAGACTGATGGCCGGTCCGGGAGACGTCTGTCCGGTGATGTAGGACCCGAATGAGCTTGACAATGACCTCCAGCCGCGCTTCACCCGGTGCCATTCTCGCCACAACCGGAGAAAAAAGCACGCGCCCCCGGTTCGATGCGCACAAGAGGACGTCGTCTCCCCAGAACCGCTGATCTGACCGACGGCCGGGAAGGGTGGGGGACCTGAATTGACACGAGCGAGTCGAACGGAAGCCCCGGAGTGGCGGCCCCGAGCGGCGAGATGGAGCTGTCGGAGGTCCGGTGCTCCAGCGCCAGCGACGAGCTGTACACCATCAACAAGACACCGAGCAGCAGCAACAGCAGCGGCAGCGCCAGACCCAAACGGCTGTTGTGGCAGAACGCGGTGCGGCACATCACCGAGCAGCGCTTCATCCACGAGCAGGGCGGGGGCGGGGGCCTGAAGGATGACCCCTTCGACCCCATCCAGGGCGCGCGGAAGCAGTCCGCGGGCCGGACGTCGGTGGGGGACCGGCACAACAACGGGGGGACCAAAGTGTTCCCGGAGCGCGCCAGCAGCGACCTGGGATTCCTGCAGATCGACTGCGCTCCCAGTAACTCGGACTTCTTCCTGAACTGGGGCTACACGTACCGGGGCGTGATCTTCCCCACCCTGCGGAACGCCTTCAAGTCCCGCGACCTGGAGCGGTTGTACCAGCGCTACTTTCTGGGCCAGAGGCGCAAGTCGGTGGTGGTGATGAACATCCTGGACGTGGTGACCAAACTCACCCTGCTGGTGCTGCACCTCACCCTGGCCTCCTCCCCCATGGACCCCATCAAAGGGATGCTGTTGGGCTTCTTCACGGGCATCGAGGTGGTCATTTGTGCCTTAGTGGTGGTGCGGAAGGACACCACGTCGCACAGCTACCTACAGTACAGCGGCGTGGTCACCTGGGTGGCCATGGCTACGCAGATCCTGGCGGCAGGGCTGGGCTACGGGCTGCTGGGGGACGGGGTGGGCTACGTCCTCTTCACCCTGTTTGCCACCTACAGCATGCTGCCGCTGCCGCTCACCTGGGCCATCCTGGCGGGCCTCCTCACCTCCGGGCTGCAGGTGCTAGTCCAGCTGCTGGTGTCCGAGAACATGCAGCTGTTCACCAACCAGGTACCTGCTGCACCTTTACTCATCAGTTGACCCTGTCCCTCCTCCTCCACCGCCTCCATCATCCTGTCGTCTAGAATTTCCTGTCTAGATTAGATTAGACGAGTACGAGTTCAGCTTCAGCTCCAGAAACTTGGGTTTGTTGTTTTTGTTTCCACCCTGATAATCAGAGCTGCTCTTTGTTCTGCTGCAGCTGCGCGTCAGAACTTCTCAGTTAAAACAAAAACAGTCTGAATTTATGAATCTGTTGCTCCAGATTGTTTCTTATTCCGTGCAAAATGAAATCTGACTGTTTGTTTGTGTCGGCAGCCTTTGATGTGACTGCTGAGGTTTCAGCACCGGGAGCTGTCCACACGCACGCACACACTGTAACGTAGCGACGCCACACATGCACACGTCCCCTGCTGGTGAAGTTTATATTTACTAATTTCTTCCTCTTCTGAATTTAAACGTTGGTCTGATGTTTGACTGTTTTCTCCACATCTGTGACCAGAATGCAAGTCAGGAGGATTTACTGATCTGTGCACAGATACATTAGGCATTCATCACTGAATAAGCTGAAGTAAAAATAACAACACCTGAAACTGTTTGTTTGGGAGAGCTCAGGTGTCATTGCTGTTGTAAAAGGAAAATCGATAATTATAGAGGAGGATCCCCAGTGAAAGGCGCATGTGATCAGATATCTTGTTTTTTGAATAATAAGGTGGACTATAATGATCATCTGAACCAGAGACCGCTTCTCCTTCAGAGTTTAAAACCTTTTGCTGACTTGTCCTCTGAGCTAAGGTGGAAACCAGAGACACGGTTTTCAGGTCTGTGATGGTTTAACGGACCTGGGTCGGTGTGAGTTTCATTGTTTCATGTTTACAGGAAACACCTGCAGAGGTTGATGATGAGATGATGAACATAAAAGCTTTAAAAGGTTTTAAATCAACAAAAATTCTCTGACTTTGTTTTTAACAATAGTTTGCTGCCAGTCTCGGTGTTTAAATACAGTTAGTTGGTTATAAAATAAATACTTTTATCATATATTAATTTAGCATTTTAAGAGATATTTTAACATTTGAACATAATCTACTGAACACCATGAATAAAAGCACATCAAATGTAAAAATTGCTGAGATGACTGAATAAAAAGTCAAATATTGTTTTGTTTATTCATTAAATAAATAAATAAACTAAATATTAAAATCAAGAATCAAATTTTTGGAACCGGACAGTAAAAACTTTTTCATTTAAACCTAAACAGAGACATCCAACGGTGGTATCGGCCCTCGAAGACCAGGATCTCTAGTGATTTACAGACGTGTGATCCTACAACAGGTTTACTCTGAAGCGTGCCACGCGTCGCTGTGTTTTGCCCTCGATCTACAGCTCAGATGTGACATCTGAATCAGACACATTTACATAAATGATTTCATAAATGATAGTAAAATCATTCAGGAAAAAAACATGAATCGTCTTGATTGGATTCAGGATTTTTATAATATTTTTTCTTTATTTTCCATATAATTTTTTTACAAACCAAATTCTCCTTTTTCGGGAGGGTAGGGGGTGTTCTGAGGACTCAAGTCATGCAGAAAAAATGTAATTTGGTGATGTTTTAGAGACTATTTTCCCATGTAAAGAGAACGTTAGGATTATATCCTTGTAGCTCAGGAGCATCCGTCAGCATGCCTGACATGACGACGCACTCGCCGCCTCATCCTTGCAGCACTGTCACTCCGTATCCCATCATGCTTCACGCCGTGAGGCTGGCGGCCCTCTCTCTCTGGTTGTAGACGTGATGCAGATGACTCGCTCCTGCCGAGTGGCTTGGGGGGGATTTCCCAGCTTCCCCTCTCAGCTTCCGCTGCACACAAACTGTAAGCAACCAGTGAGTTTTAGTGAGAAAAGGTCAGAGGTCAATGGCTGTTAAGTGGCTGCTGGTATCTGGATCCAGAGGCTGAGTGCGGCACTTCAGAAGGAGTCAATAAAACATTTGATATTTAATGCCGGTGGTGATAAAAGCTTTTCCACGGCTGGCGCCGCTCGCTCCTCCCTGGGCTGGATGCTCATTTCAGCATCACTGATGTTTTTAACTCCGACCTATTTATTCTCTTCTGATCCTTCAAGAACTTTCTGATCTTCCAAAATAGTTCTGAAAAATAAAAACTTAATTCAAACTTTAAAGTGTCGCGTGGCATGAGGTTGTGACTGATGACATCAGCTCAGCCTCCAATGGCATTTTTTATTCACCTACTACATTTCACTAAACTAAGGCTTGGGAAGCTTCAGGAAGCATTTAATCATTTATAACTTTAAACAGAAAACACTAATGGTAAGTTTGCCCTAAGCATGCCAATATTTACATTCTATTATTCTGTTTTGTTTATTTTATCCTAATTCATCTCTGGATTTGTCTAGTTTTTTGTTTTCAGCACATTTTTACCGTCTCAGTCTTCTTCTGTCTGGATTGTAACTAACAGCTCACCTGTCCTTCCTGTCAGGGTGTCACAAATCCGTCTATCTAGCCTTTTCCGGTGGGAACGTCAGGCTGTTCTTTTGTGTTTGTGCCGGAGCCATTTAGCCTCCTTATTGCTGTTAAATAGCCGGGAACAGATTAGCTCGTCCTGGTCAGTAAAGGGAAGTGTGTGTGTGTGTGTGTGTGTGTGTGTGTGTGTGTGTGTGTGTGTAAGAGAGAGACAGAGTGAAACACACAGCCATTAACAGCTTTATGATGCTCTTAGATTCATGGGAACTCATGACAACCTAGCTTACACACACACACACACATACACACACACTCATACACACACACTGCGCAGTGATTAGCTGCTCTGCTCCTGGAGCTCCACGCCGTTTTCCTCTCAAGGTCAAACGGCGCTCTCCAGGCGCCGGCTGCTCTGACGAGATAGAGGAGGAGGAGGATGAAGAGGAGAACAGCAGAGCAGAGAGTGTTTTTTACATAAAACACAAACACATAAAATCAAATCCTAAAGAGAAAAATGTTTTGTTTGGTTTAACTTTCAGCTGATCAGACGAGTTTACACGTCTTTACTGTCTCATCTACGTCACCGAGACGTTAGACACGTAGATGTCTTTTCTGTCTCATCTACGTCACAGAGACGTTAGACACGTAGACGTCTTTTCTGTCTCATCTATGTCACAGAGACGTTAGACACGTAGACGTCTTTTCTGTCTCATCTATGTCACAGAGACGTTAGACACGTAGACGTCTTTTCTGTCTCATCTATGTCACCGAGACGTTAGACACGTAGACGTCTTTTCTGTCTCATCTATGTCACCGAGACGTTAGACACGTAGACGTCTTTTCTGTCTCATCTATGTCACCGAGACGTTAGACACGTAGATGTCTTTTCTGTCTCATCTACGTCACAGAGACGTTAGACACGTAGACGTCTTTTCTGTCTCATCTATGTCACCGAGACATTAGACACGTAGACGTCTTTACTGTCTACTCTACGTCACCGAGACGTTAGACACGTAGACGTCTTTTCTATCTCATCTATGTCACCGAGTCGTTAGACACGTAGACGTCTTTTCTGTCTCATCTATGTCACCGAGACGTTAGACACGTAGACGTCTTTTCTGTCTCATCTATGTCACCGAGTCGTTAGACACGTAGACGTCTTTTCTGTCTCATCTATGTCACCGAGTCGTTAGACACGTAGACGTCTTTTCTGTCTCATCTATGTCACCGAGACGTTAGACACGTAGACGTCTTTTCTGTCTCATCTATGTCATCGAGACGTTAGACACGTAGACGTCTTTTCTGTCTCATCTATGTCACCGAGACGTTAGACGCGTTGGTGTCTTCTCTGTCTCATCTACGTCACAGAGTCGTTAGACACTTAGACGTCTTTACTGTCTCATCTACGTCACCGAGACGTTAGACACGTAGACGTCTTTTCTGTCTCATCTATGTCACAGAGACGTTAGACATGTAGACGTCTTTTCTGTCTCATCTATGTCACCGAGACGTTAGACACGTAGATGTCTTTTCTGTCTCATCTAAGTCACAGAGACGTTAGACACGTAGACGTCTTTTCTGTCTCATCTATGTCACCGAGACATTAGACACGTAGACGTCTTTACTGTCTACTCTACGTCACCGAGACATTAGACACGTAGACGTCTTTTCTATCTCATCTATGTCACCGAGTCGTTAGACACATAGACGTCTTTTCTGTCTCATCTATGTCACCGAGACGTTACACACGTAGACGTCTTTTCTGTCTCATCTATGTCACCGAGTCGTTAGACACGTAGACGTCTTTTCTGTCTCATCTATGTCACCGAGACGTTAGACACGTAGACGTCTTTTCTGTCTCATCTATGTCACCGAGACGTTAGACACGTAGACGTCTTTTCTGTCTCATCTATGTCACCGAGACGTTAGACGCGTTGGTGTCTTCTCTGTCTCATCTACGTCACAGAGTCGTTAGACACTTAGACGTCTTTACTGTCTCATCTACGTCACCGAGACGTTAGACACGTAGACGTCTTTTCTGTCTCATCTATGTCACCGAGACGTTAGACACGTAGATGTCTTTTCTGTCTCATCTATGTCACCGAGACGTTAGACGCGTTGGCGTCTTCTCTGTCTCATCTACGTCACAGAGACGTTAAACACGTAGGCGTCTTTTCTGTCTCATCTACGTCACCGAGACGTTAGACACGTAGACGTCTTTACTGTCTCATCTACGTCACCGAGACATTAGACACGTAGGCGTCTTTTCTGTCTCATCTACGTCACCGAGACATTAGACACGTAGACGTCTTTTCTGTCTCATCTACGTCACCGAGACGTTAGACACGTAGACGTCTTTACTGTCTCATCTACGTCACCGAGACGTTAGACACGTAGGCGTCTTTTCTGTCTCATCTACGTCACCGAGACATTAGACACGTAGACGTCTTTTCTGTCTCATCTACGTCACCGAGACGTTAGACACGTAGACGTCTTTACTGTCTCATCTACGTCACCGAGACGTTAGACA